TCCCAGTCTCTAGGAAAGTGGCTGCCTGATGGGGCTGCTTTGTACAGAACAGGCAGGGTGCAAACTGGAACGTGAGATGCTCCAGTAGCCCAGCATACAAGAAAATAATATCTTTTTTTTTTAATTATTATTTTCCTGTTAAAATAGAATAAATTCGTCAGCAAGACAAGCTTTGTGGTCATGATGCGATACCTTCACCTAAAGGTGTGGTTTACTTCCCACAGCCAAATTCTTCCCTACTTCTCAGTGCTAGCTCTAAGATTTTTATGCACCTCCTTTCCCCCAGGGAGGCCAAATCCTGCACTGTGCAGAACAATAAGGGCACCTGGACGTTCAGCATTTCCACGCTGCAGTCCCCTCTCTGTGTTGTGCACTTACCCTGCAAACATAAAGCCAGTGTCTATGCACACACCCCCCACACACTCGGCAGACTGCACCCACTTAGAGAGCTACTTGTTCTCAGCACATCTGTGCTGTAGACAGAGGTGCTGGCAGACAAGTTTAGGTCTTGGGTAGCAAGTGACACCCAGCTATATTCTGAAATACATAACCTCCTGGGGCAAAGATCTGTGCTAGAAATGACCAACGTGTTCTGGTGAGTGGTCTGCCCATCACTCCAGCTTCAGGACCTGATGTAATGTCTCTGGGAAAGTGGAACGGGCAGAGGAAGAGGCAGAGACCAAATTATCCTTGTTCCTTGCATAACTCAATTCCTTACTTGTGATACTAACCTGGTAGCCTCCAGGGAGAAGAAAGTGCACTGTTGGAGGAACATTTCACACTGAGTCTTGAATTTCTGCATTTCTGAAAGTTCTCCTGAGGGCTTAAGAAGACTCTTTGAGGAACCAGAATCAGAAACCTTGAGGGAATAGAAGATTTGCAAAGGGCTGTGGTGGAAGACTTGTGGAGGAATTCTACTTGGCCAGACTTGAGGATAAAAAAAAAAAAAAAAAAGGAAGAAAAGAATAATGTATTCATACTGAGCAATTAATTTATTTTTCTAGAAGCGTTCTCCTTCTTAAATTATAAGCAAGCCCTGGCACTGCTGAGTGCTATGATTTAATACCCCCATAATTAAAGACTTTGTTGTCATCCAAAGTCCTCACTGTGCAGAGAAAAATCAGCTCAAGAGCAGCAGAAATGTTATTTTTTTTAAAGTCAAAGGCTGATTAGCATGAAATACTTATGAGAAAGCTTCCGGCACGCAGCCCTCGAACCTCCTGTCAGCTCTCACTCCCCATTCCCAGGGCAGAGTGTGGGTGCACCTTCCCATGCCGCCCTGTCCCAGCCTGCAGCCCTTGCCCAGCTAGGTTTGGTCAAGCAAGAACGTCAGGGTCCAAAGTACCCCTCTAGGCCTCCCTCACTGAGATAGTCTGGAGTAAGATGGGCAGGACGGCCAAGATGTAATCCTGGAGGCACTCAGGCTTGAGTTAGGCATGAGGGATGCTTCCCCAGGAGACACTGGAGAAGATGTTGGCTCTGTTCTAGCTACACTGAGCTCTGTGGTGCTCAAATTCCACACCACAAGGGGAGCTTTAAGAAAAACTCCTGTATGAGTGCCTGCACCATTCACACACCAAGCCTTGAAATGTTCCTAAGTGTTTCTTTGGGACTACTGCTCTGACACATCGGAAGTCTTTATTGTTTTATCACACTTAAGATGCCAAATAGGTCCTGCAGCCTCCACACTATGCTTTGGCCACAAGGAAATAGTCAAATAAACAATCGAATGAATTAATAGGGCCAGCGCCTCAATGAAATTACAACTCTAAATACAAACCAAGGGCATAGAATTTCAACACTGTATTCCACCAAAAGGACTTTCATCCCTCCTGATCATGCATTTAAGTGCAGAAACACACACTATTCTCATAGTATTCAGGTATGGAGCTTCAAAGTATCTTTCATTTTATGTAAAACCTCTGTGTGAACAAAATGAATTTACCACGAAACTAAAGCAAGAGTCAGTGGTGCAACTGTTTTCACATGTCAAGACAGACAACTATGAACTTTAAAACCTCCCTCTTCTGCTTTATTGACAGGTAAATTGTTCAAAAATGTTCTCACAATTCAATAATTACAAAGACTTAGACTTACATTAAAAAAGTAAAAACCAGAAAACCCCCAAAGCAGTAGTGTCCAGCTCTAACTGAGCCCCTTTATCGAGAATCTGAGAAAAAGAGCAAGTACTGTCGAACACTTAACGTAACAGGATTAAATGCTGACTAGAACACTCAGTTTAAACTAAAGATAAGTGCACGTCCTATACAGTGTTTGAGAAAAAGAACATTAGCCATTGGTATATCATTAGCCCATTTAAACCAAATTTTAAATAAGTGACATCCAACTGTCATAAAATTGGCACAGAAGGCACACTAGTGTGACAATGACAAACTGGATATGCCAGCCACTGAATTAATTACAAGCTTTTAATGAAACATGGTCACAAATCTTTGATTACTAAATGTATAATACATGGAAGCATGAGATTAAATATACACGCAAAACATCACCACTGCACGTGGGCCATAGCAAAATATACAGGAGTGTGTTGTGCATTTTTCTACATGATCAATACTTGATTAATAATCATGGGGTCTTCATGCAAGTGAGGATACAATTAATGAGAAAAGCAGCACCTCCAGTTACACATCCTTCACGTTCCACTTTGGTAACCGATAAAACAGACTGATGTTTTAGTGCGATACAGTCCCTTAGACCAAGCAGACTTCGAGGGCAACGCATCCACGAGAAGGCTTGCTAGCTAAACAACGTAGTGTGTCCTTACACCGAAAAACCCAGGAGAAGCAACTTCTCAGAAGGAGATAGGCAGGAACTAGGAGTAAAATCTCTTTTCACAGCAGTAATTACCAGTATTTTAAAAGCCCTGACTAACAACTGACCGATGAGGACTAAAAAGCAGGGTACGGGTAAAAGATAACTGGCAATAGTCCTATGTACAAGACTAAAAAGTTGGTAAAAAGATAGAAAGACAGTTATGCAGCTGTAATGGCTAAATGAATTAAAAGGCCACAAAACTATAGCCAACTTGTACTTGACTTCCTGGCGAATCTATTGACGTTGGAAACAACCTACAGCTTCCTAGCACTCTCCTTAAGATTCAGGAAACAAAGAGTTATGGGAAAAAGAGAAAAGTGTATTCATCTGAGGATGTAACTAAACCTGCTCGCACTTCCTATTTAGAGGTCCAGATTGTGTCTAAAAGGATTTCCTGCTAATCAGACATTACATCATTCTATAGAAAAATAATATTCCTGATACTGTAGCAACATTATCAGTATCTCTCTCTATTTCTTTTTCAGCATAAGAATAAGACTATTTACTGGTGGCCTTAAATGCTCCTATGCATTAAAACTGTGTCACAGCTGGGCAGAAAGGAATCAACTGTAACTGAGCAGTGAACAATTCCGCATAAAAAGCTTGATCGCTAAAGAATTCTCTTCATTTCCATACTTTGTATCTACAATCTGGATATATAATTATTCTTGTACAACACTAGAGATTCAGTGTCAGTCTTGGCACTAGCATCTGAGACAGCTTTGCCCTGCTCTTGGATACTCCACGCGGTAGTGGAAGATCGAAGTCGGAAGGGTGAGAGCGGTAGTGTTATGCGTCGCAGGTCGACTGGTCCAGTCCATCTAGTGTGAGCTGATTCCTGTGAGGAGAGTTGGGGCTTGGGGGACCACTTGGATTTGAGCTGTTGGATGGAGTAGAGTGTTTGGTGGAGTCTGAATCAGGCTGTGAATGAGAAACATTTGAAGCAAACATTAAGCTTACTTGAAATCAATTATTTGCATTCAAAAGCTTGCAAAAGCACTCAAAAATTAGGGTGAGCAACACCTACAAAGCAGTGTGTATTAGATTTGTTTCACAGCTGAACGTTCATGCAAACAGTTTCACTGTCAACAGGCTGTGGAGCAGTCCTGGGGGTGACCTTCTGACCTAACAGGAATTATGGCAAAGTACATGGAAACTGCTACATCTTAGGCTCCTCTCCTTTAGTCATTGCAAAGCTCTCCTGATGGAACGCATCCATCCGCCCACTGTTGTCCTGGATTTACCAGTCTGCATCTTTTAAGCCATTTTTGTAGCCCAGGAATAAATTTTTCTGCCTATCTAAACAATTACACTCAAATCATCATTTTGGTGAGAAGGAAGGAAACAAGCACATGAGCAGTTTATAAAACAGCAACAGTGACAAGCATGTGAAGTGCCTGACAAAGGAGTGAAGGTTGCCAGGTACCAGGCTGGAGATCTGGAAACAGAATATACTTACTGTAGAGACGCCCTGCGTCAATCCCTAACACAAAGACAATCTATCCACAATTAGCTCTCCCAGCATTAGATTGGTTGCTGGATATTTGCCTTCACAGACCGGTCTCACTTCAACAGGATGGCTGGCGAGGTTCCCACTATTTTCGTGAGTTACAGCTCTGAGCACTGCACACATTCACAGCTACTGAAATACTGCACAGGGAAAACTGGTACTGCTGCAGCAAGTTATTTTCAAGAAAGGCAACGGGTATTTAGCAAAGAGACTGAAAGGTAACATCCTTCAAGAATGCTGTTCACAAGGCTTCGCATGGCTCAAACAAGATCATCTATAAGATTAAGTTAACGTGAACTGGTTCACAGCGCAATAAAGCCAAACACCACAGGAAAAATAGCATAAAGCAAAAGGGCATTATTAGAGCCTCCTTTTTCTAAGAAGTCATAAGAAATTGTAAATTCAACCAAAAAAGATGTTAGAAAACAGAATTCACCACTACTCATGCCTTCAAAGACCAATTACCATTAGAGCGTGGAATGTGATGGAATTTGAGAAGGATGCTGCAGAATAACTGAGCAGTCTGTCATTAGCACATTTGAAAATCAAGACAGTTTCAAAACCATGTGTGCTGCGAGATCCCAATTTTCACATGCGTTCAATGGCTAACTGAAGGTGACAAAGGAAATCAGAGCACAGCTGTGATCAGAACGCCAGACAAATGCTTTGACACAGGGTGTATTAAGGCATCCTGCAGAGGTCTGGCTTCAGGAAAACACCCTTCAAAATCCAGAATGTTACATGGGCCTGTAGTTGGGTACCAAAAAGCACTGTAAAGATGCAAAAATCTCGATCGAGGAGTTTGCCTTCCAAAACATTCCTAACACTTCCCTTGCACAGGCACTGCTTGAGCAAAGCTTACATGAGGCTACACTCGTGATAAACGAAGAGAAACAAAAATCGTACATCTTCTCTCCTTAGATTCAGGGACACGAGTTTTGTACAGCCAGGGCATTTCAGTTTGGTGACAACTGGCACATACTTTTATTCTTGCCAAAAGCAGTTTTACATATATTAAAATATGATTCCTTCTCAAGTTATATGACAAAACGTCTTCCTTGGGGCAGCACAGAAAATGACTTAACTAGTTGCATTACTTTGCTATTCTATGCTAATAGCCCAGAGAACATTTTTAGGAGCTTTGAGGACATTTCATCAATTAGTCAAATTTCCCTTGTCTACAAAGCTTAATCCAAGACATAATGTATCTCAAAATATCACCACAAAAAATCTTTTCATGACTTTGCTTTTGTGCTGGCATATGTAACTTCCAATATATTGCAGATATATTACAGCCTGGAGTCCACGTTTGTGGAAGGAAAATATCTCCATAAAGAACATGGTCTTCATGAAGTATTTCCTCAGAAATTTTACTGGAAAAAGAAAATAATCTATGGCAACACGATATCCTTAGTTTCCATTTAATAAAAGCTACTTTACCTCTTTGTCAAACTCCTGGTCAGGATCGGACATACTTCGGGAAGGCATGGCTCCTCCCACATCACTGCCACCTGTACAGAAAGAGACGGGGGGGGGGGGGGGGAAAGAAGGGGGCTGGT